GCCAATAGTGCGCGGATGGACTGCAGCAGACGGAGGTGAAGAGTGGAAATCAACTGAACAAAGGCGATTCATGTTGTACAGGTAGAAAATGAAGGTGGTTGTACAAAAAAGCAATTGTCACAATTTTACAATTTTCCGTTAGTGTTTATTTACGATAGGTCAACAGGGCCACGCAGATGCACAGGTTCGCAGCTGTACCATACGAATAAGAGAGATCATTAATGAAGGCATGAGAACAAAAATTGGTGAAACATTCCTTTAGCTGATCACAATTAATTCCTTAGTTTGCAGGGCCGTCATCAACCGTTTTAGTGCGTAATCAAGTCATTAATTGGCACGTAGCCGGGTTGGAGCATTCGGAACTCTTCAAAGCTTCACAGTGCGAAGTCGCCTTTATGGTGGCAATGGAGGACCAACGTCAACTCTATTTTACCCTTTAGTGTAGCCCTAGGCGCAGCTTCCAAGGAGATCAAATTAAACTTGGCATCTGAATGCCATGTCTGACAACAGCAGAAAGTTCCTCCATGCTTGCGCCAAAGCAGCCTGCGGAGAATTTGGAATTTACCTCTTAATTTATATCAACTGTGATCTAAGGAACTAGCTTATGGTTTGTTTCCGCACAAATCCATCTCATTTCCAGCTGATGCTCAAATATATAGGCAAAGTTGGCGCGCACTCTGTAGATATGATGAACTACAGACTAAAAAATGTACAGAGCTGCAGATCAGAGCGAAATAATCTTGACTTGCCAGGTACCAGGGGCACTCCATGAGATATCATGAGCTTCCAAGGCAAGATTCAGGCAAATTGAGTTGCTTCCTCTCTTTCAAAATAGTCTTTCTAACACAGAAATTGTGAAAGCTCCTTCACTCTATCACTTTTATCAAAATTATGGTTCCTCTTCTCTAATATAGCGTGAAATGCTATGTAGAAGATGCAAAAAAGGAAGATGCATGCATATTCTTAGATTCTGAATATTAAAGTTGCATTTGTCAACACAGTATTTGGTAGCGTTTTTTTAAAGATTTCAAAATTGAATTAAGCTTAGGAAGCAATTATGCCTTAGTTCAAGGAGTGATGGGGCAACGGGTTTTGAGAAAAAATGTAGTGATAAACAGCGGTCTTGGCCAGACATTATCAAACTGACCTGTTCAAAATATTGTGGATCTTCATTGAACGTGAACTTGGGCTGTGCAGCTTCTAAAAGCTCTTTCCAGAGTGGATTCGCCAAAGCGTCAGAAGTCAGATGCGAAGTGGTTAAAGCTAGGGCCAGCCGCTGCTCCAACTCGCGTTGACGCCGCTCATCTCGTCTCCACTTCTTCGACTGCATTATTTGGCCGGATGCACTGATAGTCAGCCCTGCTAATAATAAGTGACTTTTGGACGAGTTTTCCTACAAGAAAGAGAATCTTCACCTGCTTGCTGTAGCATTTGATTAGCAGCTTGCGCAGCATTGACATTTGCTGAAGAGGTCGGTACTTGAGGATTAAGCATCATTTGTAAAGGATTAACACTTTGCATCAAATTTTGAAGCAGTCCAGGAATAGCTGGAGTGCCTGCCCGTA